TTACGCTCACTTTCTCTCTCTGCACTCATGGAATATGTCATAGCGAAATTGAAAGCACGCGGTTAGTTATTGGATTGATCGCAGGTAAAATAAACTGACCAATCACTAGGCTGATATCTGTTTTTTGAAGATTACAGAGGAACAACAGCCAACCTTAAAACCAGTAAATGTTACCGTCAGGCGACCGGGAACTTCTATTGATGTACATCAAAGGATAACACTAGTCCTCTTGTCTCACCAACAAATTGGCACACACTGAGCCTTCAAATTAGCTATGACATATTCCAGGGGTGCAGAGAGCGAAGGTGAGGCGTAACCCCTGGAGTAGCGAGGGTGTTGCTCATAACGTTGCAGTGACATGCACAAGTTATCTTCGTTACGACAAAATACGCACCAAATCTGACTTGGTAACGTATAACATCTCGTCTTGATAAAAAGGATTTTTTCCCCTTGAAATACCAGTGTTGTCTTTTTAAACGGTTATAGATTCTGGCCGTTACTGCTGGATCGGGCTGGAGAGAGAGTCGACTGGCCACTTCCGGTGGACAGATGGATCAGCTTTCAGCTACAACAACTTCCACTCTGGTGAGGATTTGCATACGTTCGTGGGGGAGGAAACTCTATAACAGGCAGGAATAATAGCAATGATGGACCGACCCATAAATATCAATGATATACAACTGAAACTAACTATAGGCATTGCTAAGAATTTATAGTTAATTAAACTTAGTTTAAAGATTATTTTGATGTCAATATATTGCAGTAACACACTATAAATACAGTGTACACGATGCAAGGTTTTGACAAGTACATAGTACTTATATATTCATCCATCTCCTTACATTTATTAAACGGCGATAGGACGACCCTGACTGGCGTTTTTTTCTTTACACCAGGTGAGCCAGACAATTACAACAATGAGGAGGGTTGTGCGCTGATGCCCTTGCATGACTCTAACTATCCTAACGGCCTGTGGAGCGACAAGAAGTGCGTGGCTCATTACGATCTCTCTTACTTCGTGTGCAAGATGTCCGGGTCCTCACAGACACACACCAGTGCACCTGTCGTCACAAACCCGCCAAGTAACAATTGTTTCCTCATATTTATTTCTTGGTTGACGATTACAGGAAGAATGTCCGGATCGCGGACGTAGAATGTTTCTGGCTACTAGTTATAAGTGCCTCGCTTTTCATCGCTCTGCTACCATCACGGTTTTACGTAAAGTTTGTCTTTATGTATAAGACATACTGGTCAAATGAATTATGTTTCTACAAAGTTACTGACCTTTTTCATTCTTCGACTACCTCCACATTTCATAGTGATGTTCCGATTGTACATGCAGATGTGTATAACCATCAATCATATTTGTCCTGTAATGTTAGCAGTTATCTTTTTATCCCAGCTTTTGGCCATTATTTCGGATGCCAACGGATAATCTTAATTAACTTACATCTCAGTCTAGTCTATCGTGTATTTGTTTTCGTTAAAAGGTAAAATCAAATTAATTTAGACAATATCAGTACACAAGTCTAGATATATGAGTTTGTTGTACAGTTGTAAAACTTCTGTGATCAAACCTGGGTGGGGGGATTATATGTTGTGTAAATAACCTAAAAAATCACGGTTACCATCCATGCAGGCAAAACTTAATGATGTACCTTTTTATTACATGTGGTATCATTCACAGGTCAAACGCTTACTTCTGGCACACACAAGTTGTATGTACAAGGGACAAACCTGATGATGGACGGACATCGTGTCTTTTTGTCCGGTACTAACCAACCGTGGGTTGCATACGCCTATGATTTTGGGAACCACCAGTATGCCTCGAGAAAGACTAAATTTGAGCAGGCTCTACAACAGGTCCATCAGGCTGGAGGAAACTCTATAAGTAGGTTTCACTGATTGGTAACTCCATACCAGTTGACAAAGAACTATATTAACTGTAAATTGTACAAGTACAAATCTAAACAAAATATTATTTACTTGTCAAACACATAATATACAATATTACGCTTTAAACATTGGTACAACATTATATTAAATGTGTCTAGCGATAAGTGGCTCACTGAACACGTAAATTTAGCATCTATAATTAAAATCAGTAAAAGTCTGTAATATCTATCTGTATTAGTTAAAAGCCGTCTTTTCTATTGCATTTTGATGAACTTGTACTACTTGCTCGCGTAAACGTCTTATTAGAATACAGCTTTTTGCTAACTAGGTAGCTCAATTGTTGAGCTTATGAACGAAATCAAATTTGAAGGATTAGACAGTAGTAAACTATGTGTTTGCAGCGTGAACTAATACTGATGGACTTTTGACTCGAACTAGATCTAACTTTAAGGTGCGGCTCTAGCAATTGTAATGGCATTGTTGAATTCGCGGTTTAATCCTTCAACAAAAAAAC